GACTCAGCGGGAAACACTTGGGTGGTCCTGTGGGATCTGGCTCTGCTGCGGTCCCAGTCTCCTGCTATGTGACTTTCCCTTGCTGGTAATTTTATCTCTGGATAGAGAACTCAGGTTTCACAATCTGGCAAGGCATATTATAGTATCATCAGACTTCCAGGCGTCACTGCCGGTTAGCGAGCATTAAGGTTCTCTATTAGTGAGATTGACTCTCTTGTTTCCCTCTCAGGTGTGCCAGCTAGGACTGCAGCTTGTCCCTTTCTCATAGGGCCTTACTGAAGGCCACAGCAAGTAGACAGCACATTCCACTATCCTCACTTAGTTTTACTAAGACCCCTAAACTACAACCTCAGTGGTTGTGGCTCCCAAAAACAGCAGGTGTTATGGCCAGCCTCTTTCCTCCCTGAGAGCAAAGAGTGCCAATTTCCCAACTAGGCAAGGGGGAAGTCCTGACCTGCTCCATGCCTCACATGGACTCTGCCAGTTCCACATATTAGGGCCTGTGACTTGCAGCAAACCATACTGTATTGTTCTGGGTGTCCCTTGTTGCTAGTGACAGAGACCCAATTCAATAGCAAAAAAGGAAATGATTGGTTTTCATAACTGGATCGTGATAAGGACAGGTGTGGTTGGATCAAGGTACAGACACTCTCGTGGAGGACTCTGTCCCTTGCTAGCTCTCGTCTATGTTTGCCACAATGTTTGCTTTATTCTCAGAAGGGCTTTTGCCACTTGGCAACAACACCATCGCCAATTACTCTAGGCTTAAATGGTCCTTCAGAGGTATAATCCCAAGGAAAGATTCTTTCTGTCCTGTCACATAGCAAGTCTCTGGAGGTCTCTGATTGGCCCTGCACGGGTCACACGGCCCACCTCTTGACTCAGTCAGTGTAAACAGTGGCATGGGAGATGGGGCACTGTGATTGACCAAGTCCGCTTCATTAAGCAGAAGGCTGCTGAGGTCTCAGAGCTTTTGAACCAGTGGTCCCCTTTGCCTGGAAGGCGTTTCCCCTAAATCTGTATGGCTGTCTCCTTGTTGTTAAGATCTCAGCTTAAGTGTTACTTCCTCCAAGAAACCTGACCCAACACCTAATCTAAAGTCATTCTCTATTCACTGTCTTTATTAGTCTCAATTCAGGTTTAGTGGATATAGCAAAAGCCAAAATAACAGTAGCTTAAGATGGAAATTTACTCCTCTCTAAGCAGTCCACAGCTGGCAATGTCAGGTACATATTGTGGTGAGTCCCCAGCTCCTGCCTTGTTCTGTCGTCCTCGGTCCATCCTGGCTTCCATCTCATGATCAAAGATGGTGGGTCCAGTTCCCACCACCAGGTCCTCTTTTTAGCTGGCAGGAAGACAAGAGGGCAAGAGGAGGGCATGACCCAAAACTTGCACACATCATTTCTCTCCACACACCCGTGTCTAAACTTAGTCACATGGCCACACCTCGTTGTACGAGAAGCTGGAAAACAGTCTAGCGGGGCAGCCATACACTCAACTAAAATTCAGGGGTTCAATTACTAAAGAAGACGGAGAGATTGGACACGGGGGGCAAATGGCCATCTCCCCCACGTGGAGTTTTTTGGAATCACAGAAACAGTGGTCAGCATATCAAAGTAAAGAGGTCCTTAGAGACCATCTAGTTAAATACTCTCATTTTATAAGTGGGGAGACAGACGCAGAGAGGTGACTTGTCCAAAATCACACAGTAAGCCAGTGGTAGACCAAGGCTAGAATTCAGGTCTCTAAACACCAAGCCCAGTGCTCAAAACTGGGGAAGGGATTGGTTTTAGGGGGACTTTAGCTTCATATATATTATTTGTATATATATAATATTCATACATATAATATATATCATATATTTATGTGTTATATATAACAAGGATATATTCATGTGTGGTTGTGTAAATAAAAATAAATAAAAACTTGGCCAATACACATATAAAAAGGTGTTCTCTTCATTAGCCAGTGGAGAAATTCAAATTAAAACCACAATGAGATACCACAAAAGACATCCATCAGAATGCCTAAGAGTAAAAAGACAGACAGTGCTCAGTGTTAAGAATGTGGAGCAACGGGAACTCTCGGATATTATTGGTACAGCCCCTTCAGAAAACTGGCCCTGTCTACTAAAGCTGAACACACATACGTGTACCTTATTACCTCATGATTCCACATCGAGCCATTTACCCAAAAGAAATATATATGTATTTTCATCAGGAGACATGTTCAAGAATGTTCATAGCAACATTTTGTAATATGTGTAATAAAACTGGAGATAAACCAAATGTTCATCAGTAATAAAATGTGGTCTGTTCATATAATGGAATATTACAGGTATGAGAATGAACAAACTACAGCTACGTAGCAACATGGATGAATCAAATAAAATTTTGAGCAAAAGAAGCAAGTCCCAAAAGAGTGCATGCTGTATTATTCTATTCATATACAGTTCAAAAACAAGAAAAACTATGCATTTAGAAGGTAGGATAGTGACCCCTTGTGCGGGTAAGCGACTAGAGTAGACTGGCTATAGGGTTCTGGAAACTGCTCTTTTTCTTGGTCTGAGTGCTGGTTACATGGGTACGTTCACTTTGAAAATTCAAGGGCATGTATACTTCTTTGCACTGCTCTCTCTGTGTAGGATATATTTTAATAAAAAGTTTAAAAAATAAGTAAAAGAAAATTTAAGAGTAAAGAGACATGTGTCTGGTGGGCCCTGCCTGGGTTTACTTAGTGCTTTCAGTGTGAAAATCTCCAGGAAAAAGCCTTCATGTAGGAAACTTGGTTTCCCAAGGAGAAATACCTTAAGCCAGCATCCAAGATAGTAACATGCCAGGTGGCCTCTGGTAGCAATCACCAGGCCGGAGTCCACACAGCATAGGCCAAGGGCTGAAACTGGCCGAAGATTTCTGTCATCTAACTTAGGGAGGAAAATATAACCATTAAATGCACCCATTTTTGAACTGGCAAGTCAAAAAGAAGCTTGTTCCAGCATATCGGCGACCTGTCATTGGCTTTCCTATGACATGCAAAGCACCTTTTTCTCTGCAGAAAAAGTTACCCAGAGAAAATTAAAAGCAGAAGCCTGAGGACACACAGTTAAATGAGGGCCACAGCTCCAGGGAGCACATTCACATAGACGAAAGTGAAATGCCCCCTTCCTGGAGTTGTGCCATTCAGTGGCCCTGGGTTGAAATAGGACGTGACCTTGCACAAAACCCTTAACCCCTCAGGAGTCTCAAGTTTTTTATCTGAAAAGAATCATCTTTTACTTCTCAAAGAGCTTTTCCCTGTGATCTCATTTGGTCACGATATAGATATTATGCCCTATTTACGTATAAAGAAACCAAGGTTTGATGGGCAAAGTTATTAATATTTATCTTGGAAATTAACTTAAAAGCTAGCCTGGACTTCAGTTGGAAGTTGTTTTGTCTAATCCTGCCATTTTGCATATTGGGAGACTGAGGCCCAGAGAGGAAAAGAATTGAATGGAGCACGCACAGGGTCAGATGGAAGAGCTGGGACCAGAACCTAAGGGATTAGGTTTCAGGTGGCCCTGAAAAGTCGACAATCTAAGACATTCTCGGATTCTGTGAAATGCAGATGGACCCCTGGCCTCCCAGAGGTCCTTCCCACCCCCACTTCTGGGAATCATGCTTGTGACACAAAACCAGTTTTGCAGGTGTCCCTGGAGTCAGGTTCTCCCTGGCAGGCCCAAGATCCGTGACTCTGCACTTTGTTTCCTCCCAGGTCTGAGCCCAGTGAGGGCGAGGTGGCTCTGAAGTGAACAGACCAGCCTTGGAACACAGGAGGAAGTTTTTGTCATGTTTTGTTTTAAAAAAGAGGGGTGGGGAGGAGGAGGAAGAAAGAAAAAAAATTATGTACATGTTTGTGTGCTCCCAGCAAAATGTATTATAGCATTACCAAAACTGTCACTTCAGCAACCCCAGGGAGGGGTGGAGGAGTGAGATGGGGTGGGGAAGCCCTCCTTCCTCCACCCCGCCAGGAGGCCACTGCCCTTGCTCAGTAAGCAGCTGGGGCTCCAGCACCTTTGCCCTCGCCGCCCGTTCCTCGCCCGGAGTGCTTGTCCCTTGATCTTCACCTGGCTGCCTCCTTCTCGCCATTCAGATTCTTGTTCCTCCACTGACCACCTCATCCAAAGAGGAACCCTGTCGCAGCTCCTGAAACTATTCTGTTTATCGCCTCCACAGCACGTCTCACTCTCTGAAAGCAGCCTGTTTACCTACTTGATTGTTGTCTGCCCCTCCCGCGTCCCACAGAGGCAGGAACTATCTCGTTTCCCACTGAGTCCTCCGCGAAGGACGGGGTCAGGCACAGAGCAGACGGATGCGGTGAATGAGGTTGGGGGAGAGGCCTTTCACTTTTTACTTTGAACACGTTTACATTTTTAAAGATTTGTTAGATAAGCATGCATTACTTTTGCAAAAAAAAAAAAAAATTAAACAGCTTTTTTTTCTTTAAAAGAATACAAAAAGCAACTAGGTTATTACTGCAGAGGACTCTACCCTCAGCGAATTGTCTGGGGATAGACAAGTCTCCAACTGAAGAAGCAATGCCCTCCTAGCACCAACTGGGGACCCTGAGACCAGAGAGGGGCAGCGCCTTGCCCATGTCCACACAGCACCGAGCAAGCCAGCCCGGTCCCAAATCCTCTTACTCCCAAATCAGCATGGGTACCTCCCAGGGGTGTCCCGAGCCATGGGAGGCGGAGGGGCGCGAGGTGGGGGATGGGGAGAAGGGAGAGCGCGGGGGGCGGGGCGGAGAACAGAGAGGGTGCGGGGAGGGCACGAAGGGGCGGAGAGGGTGCGGGGTGACGGAAGGGACTTGGGGGCGGAAGAGCGCAGTGAGGCGGTTGACAGAGGGTCCCAGAGAGGCGCACAGTGTGACGGAGGCGGGAGAAGGACGGCGATGGGGCGGAAAGAGGAGGAGCCGCGGCGGCGGGAGGCGGGAGGCGGGAGGCGCCAGGCAAGGCAGCGCGCGCCGCGCCGAGGTATCCCCGAGCCGAACCGGCGGGGCCGCAGCTGCGAGGCAGGTGGGTCCCAGGCCCCGGGGACGGGCGCCGAGCCTGGGAGCGCGCTAGAGCTGAGAAGGGGACCCATGGTCCGGCCCCAGCCGCGGCCTAGAGCCCTAGGACCTTCCCTCCCCGGGCCACACTGCACATGACAGCTGTGGAGATTTTGCGTTAACTCCGGGCTCCTGGATTTAGCCTCTACCGAGCCGAGCCCTGGAGGTGGGGAAGACGGGTGAGCAATTCAGGCCCGCAGCCCAGAGCCCCCAGCCTGGGCTCGCAGAAGTGGAAAACGCGTGGGTCGGGAGCCAGAGCCCTTTGTTCTAGTCTTAGGTGTGCCCTTGACTCGCTGTGTGATTTTGGGTAAGTCCCTGCCCTTCACTGGGCCTCCATCTACCCACCTGCAAAATGAGAGAGTCTTTGGATGGGTCTAAGTTCCAGACTGACTTAAATTCATTTCCTTGACAAACTTCCTCTTGAAGCTTGTCCCCATAGTCACCAGCCACGACCCTCCCCCAGCACCAGCTTGGCTGCACGCTGATCTCTGGCCCCTCTGGCTGCTCCGGTTTCACGTGGACAGCCGTGCGCTGTCTGCAGTCAGCTCCGTCTGGGAAAGAAGCTGCGTCCAGCGTCTGGACAACAGGCTGAGGAATTTGTTTCCTGTGCAACGGGTCAGTAATCCTTTCATCCGCTCTCTTCCTGAGCAGGTGTTGTTACCTCCCTCCCGTAAAGATGAAAAATTGGTGTTCAGAGTGGGTAGAAACAGGTGGGAACAGGCCGCTGAGTCCTGTCTTTTCTGTTGTGCTCTACAAGTTCACCAAAATCAGATTTTTTAAAAAAATTCAAGTATATCTAAGCATGATGCAGAGGAGTCTGGAAGTTTGGGTTCTAGTCCTGGCAGTGTTGCTCACTGTCTGTGACCTTAGGCGAGTATCTGCGCTCTCTGGCTCAGTTCTCCCTGCTCAGCAGTCAGGATGTTGGTCAGATGGGTTGCAAATGCTTTTCTGTCTTTGACATTGCTAATGCTAGTAATAGCAATCATCATAATTGTTTCTTTACCTTGACCTACAAGGCCCTGCCTGAGCTGGCCCCAGCTACCCAAAGCACCAAACTTGCCCTGCCTCAGGGCCTTTGCACTTGATAGTACCACTGCCAGGAGCACTTAACCACTCCAGCTTCTTGCATATTCATTCTTGAGATCTCTACTGACACTTCACTTGCTTATAAAATTCTCTGACAACAAAGACTAGATTGAGTCCCTGGATTTATCCTTACGGTATATATCGACTTCATTATGCTTAATTATTTGCGAAGTTCTTTGTCTAATATCCGTATCCCCTGTTCTTCGATGCCTGTGACTTTCCTAGGGTCGCGCAGTTGGCAGCACCAGAATTCAAACTCAGTCTGTCTGATGTCGGGGCCTGAGTTTCCACCTCACTTGCTGTTTTTCATTCTAGGATCTTGTGCTGTGAAAAAGTTTCCCAAGTGCCCCATGTCAGCCAGCAAATCTGACCGGCGAGGCCTGGGAAGAGAAGAGTGTTAGGTTGTGGAGGGGTGGTCTTGTCCAGTTCAGTTTCCCCCTGGACCGACCGTGGGACCTGAAGTAGAACTGGGGTGGACTTGGCCTCCTCCATGGCACGCCAGCTGCAGATACGACTGCTGACATGGGACGTGAAGGACACACTGCTCAGGCTCCGCCGCCCTGTGGGGGAGGAATATGCCACCAAGGCCTGGGCCCACGGGCTGGAGGTGGAAGCCACAGCCCTGGGACAAGCCTTCAGGCAGGCGTACAGGGCTCAGAGCCATAGCTTCCCCAACTATGGCCTGAGCCATGGCCTCACCTCCCGCCAGTGGTGGCTGGATGTCGTCCTACAGACCTTCCACCTGGCGGGTGTCCAGGATGCCCAGGCTGTAGCCCCCATCGCTAACCAGCTGTATGAGGACTTCAGCAGACCCTGCACCTGGCAGGTGTTGGAGGGGGCTGAGAATACCCTGAGGGAGTGCCGCACACGGGGTCTGAAGCTGGCAGTGGTCTCCAATTTTGACCAACGGCTAGAGAACATCCTGGTGGGTGTCGGCCTGCGGGAACACTTTGACTTTGTGCTAACCTCCGAGGCTACTGGCTGGCCCAAGCCGGACCCCCGTATTTTCCATGAGGCCTTGCGGCTTGCTAGTGTGGAACCAGCAGTGGCAGCCCATATTGGGGACAGTTACCGCTGTGATTACCAGGGGGCTCGGGCTGTAGGCATGCACGGCTTCCTCGTGGTTGGCCCAGAGCCTCTGGACCCCGCAGTCAGGGATTCTGTACCTAAGGAGCACATCCTCCCCTCTCTGTCCCATCTTCTGCCTGCCCTCGACTGCCTAGAGGGCTCAACCCCAGGGCTTTGAGTATGGTGAGGGAAGTGGCTGGGGTCTTGGCCATGGAGAAAACCCTAAACAAACACTGGAGACGGAGCCTCTTCTTTCTCTGCAGCTCTGGACTTTGCCCATCTCCTTGCAGCCTCCATAACCTGTTCGTAATAAAGCCGTGAGTGCTTGGCTTTCAGCCTTGCCCCACTAACGCGCTCCTGGTCTCTGAGTGCCCTCACTGCCATTCACACCTGTGTCCCTTTCCCACCATGGGTCGCCTTCACATCCAGCCTTCACATCCAGCAAGACTCGCTGAGAGCCCAGCTAACTTCAAAACCAATCACTTTCAAACTTTGTTTTAGCAGCAGGGCCCTTTTGTCATGGGAGATCTGAAACCCCATTATGCAAAACAGAAAAAACTATAAACCCCCAAGAAACTGCTAGAGTTGAAGCAGAAGTCCTAAGGCCTCTCATTTGGCCTCTGAGACGCCCTCCCCCTGGAAGCCTGAGGTCGGACCTTAGTTTGAAAACCAGTGCCAAGTTGTGCTGTAGGGACACTGTCCATTAACACTGTCCATTAAACTAGCCTGAACAGGAGAGTTTAGACAAGGAACAGCATAATTACAATCATCAGAAGAAACACTGTTGATTTATGCTTGCTAAGTTTGTTTTTTGTTTTTATTTTCCTTTTGAGACAGGGTCTGACTGTGTTGCCCAGGCTAGAGTGCAGTGGTGTCATCATAGCTCACTACAACCTCAAACTCCTGGGCTCAGGGGATGCTCCCACCTCAGCTCCTGAGTAGCTGGGACTACTGTGCATGCCACCACGCCCTGGCTAATTTTTTCTATTATTTGTAGAGGTGGGGTCTCAGCATGTTGCTCTGGTTGGTCTCAAACTCCTGGCCTCAAGTAATCCTCACACCCAAAGTACTGGGATTACAGGCATAAGCCAACGTGCCTGGCACTAAATTCTTTATATGCATATATAACCCTTAAAGCTACCCTAGTGGGCATAGGTGGTGTGACCCTTTACCAATGAGGAGACATATTCAGAGGTTAAGTAGCCTGCCTGAGGTCACAGCTAGCATGTGAGGGAGCCAGGGTTCCAATTTAGGCACATCAGACTCAAGTTCGCCGGCTTGACCACTAGGTTGCAAGAAAACAGGGATCCATGTCATGTGGGACAGTGCAGTGGAGATACTGGGAGAATAGAGAACGTGTCCTAAAGGGTGTCAATCCTGAAGGCACCCCAGTCATAGGGACCAGGCTGGGTTAGGAAAGCACGGGGAATGCGGACTGCAGCTCAGGGCGGCAGGAGTATAGGGAACGCGGTGGGGAACAATGGGAAGTTGAAGAAGTGGGTTGGGGTTTTTTTTAATTCCATTTCTCTTCCTGCCAGTCCTGTCTTCCCACACCTTTCTACTTGGTATTTACTGGGTGTCTCTGCCTTGCTCAGTGCAGGGGCCCCGGGACCCTCCCACCCCGGGCCATGCTGGGGCCATGCTGCACGTGGCAGCTGTAGGGATTTCGCGAGCACTGGAGGTGGGAAGGGTGAGCAATTCAGGCCTGCAGCTCAGAGCTGGTGTGCGTTCTCCGGAGTGGACCCTGAATTAAAGGTTGGTATCGGGGGTGGCATTTAGGCGGGAAGAGGGATGGGGAGGGCATTCCTGCAGCAGGCCCATGAGCTGGGGACTAAAGGTTGCTGTGGGGAGTTGGGTTGATGGGTTGGGGGTGGGGCATGGCATGGGGACCTCATAGAAAACCCCTTCTGGATCTGTCTGTTGGGACTGGCACCGAGGCCAGGCAACTCGACAGTAATTCCTGAGTGTCAGATGGTGAGGACACAGGTCACGAGCTGCGGTCTCAGAGCTGCAAGGCCCTCAGAGATCACCTCAGCCAAAAAAGTCACCAATAGGAGGTCTGTGGACTAAATTTAATCTGCCTAGTGTTGCAAGTAAATTATTGAGCAAACATAAAAATCAACAGATTTCACATAAAAATCAGGATTTTTCGACTTTTCCCTAGAGAGCTCTACTCCTGGCCATTCTGGGTCCACATTCCTGCATGGGCACAAAGGGCTAGGGCTGAGTGGTTGCTGTCCCTTAGTCTTGGACTGTTTCACTCATTACCCACTGACCCCAACCAGTCTTACTTTGTGACCTCGCTGATTGAACAGTGATTTTCTAACTGCTCTGTGGCTCTCATCCTCTTTGGACACAGGAGCCAGGAGTTGTAGGTAAGATTGCTTTAGAAGAGTTCCTGGATGAAAGCTGGAAGACCACTATCCACAGAGGGAAACATGATGGGACTTGCCTTTGGTCCCAGGAACGTCTCCAGGTTCTTTCTGCTACGCTGAGCTGTCACTTACTTCTGAGAATGTGAGTGAGGGTAAGGAAGACAGGCCAACATAGAATAGACCCAATTACCAACGAAGAGCATGGAAGGAATCTTTAAAGCTTTTAAGACCTTTAATAATGTCCAGCTGCCCTAAGGCTGGCCCTCTCACCCCTTCAGCTCCTTCTGGCTGGAAGCCCTCCCCCCAGGTCTCCACTTTATGTCAGAGGGGGCTGTCAGGTGGGAGAACTCATCAGCCGCAGGAGGACGACAAAGTTAACCCCTGTGCCCGGTGGGCACAGGCTGGAGCTCAGTGCCAGGTTTGAGACATGCCAATGGCGATGTTGCAGTCAGGTCACCTGGAGACGTGATCCCTTGGTCTTCTGAGGGCTGAGGCAAGACCTGGGGGAAGGACATAGCCCCCAAGCCAGACTCCTCTAGCCAGGAGCAGCCTTTCAGGTTGTCCATGTGTGCTAGAAGAAATATTTTCTCTATGTGCCATGTCATGAAAAAGATTGAGAAGCACTGAACTTAGGACATGGAGAAGCTTCAGCCACAGGCTTCTCTGCCAGAGAACCACTTCTACACGCATCAAGCCGGGGGCAGGGGCCTGAAAGGCAGAGCCTCTCCGGAGACTACCATATCCATCCTCTCACCTACCCATCCCTCCATCCACTCACTCGCCATATATTTATTACATGCTCACTACGCACCAGGCGCCATGCTGGATGCCAGAGATAAAGTGGTGAACCAGACACCCTCGGAGGGGCAGGTGCCTGGTGGACTTGGGAGACTGGGGCCCAGGGAGTGGCAGGTTCCACACAGATACCCAGTATTTAAAGGTTGGGTCCAGATCTGAAACAGACTCCCACCCCTCCTAAAGCTGCCCACTGGGCCTGGGTCCTGTTTCCCTTAGAAACCCCACACACATCGTTTGGGAAAAGGACAGTGGCTAGAAACATGGCCTGAAAGGGTGGTGGGGAGGTGGACCTGGCCTTCCTGCGGCCAGAGGTCAGTGGACGATGGAAATGGTCTGGTCAGCCACCGCGAAGACTGGGAAGAGGGGCCCAGGGAAGGGTGCATGGTGAGTGTAGAGCACCGTGCCCGAGGCCGAATCGTAGAAGAGCAGCTCCTGAGTCTGCAAGTCCAGCAGCACGCCCAGCCGAGCTGGGCACCGCAGCAGCCCCAGGGCCTCGTGCTGCCCATTGTGCAAGAAACGGAACTCCTGGTCATAGCGAGAGAAGACCCAGGAGAAGGCGTTGTGGCCTAGACGGCAGTCACTGCCAGAACCCTTGCGGGGCAGCTGGCCTGAGGCTACGCCCACCTTATAGGCACAACTGTTCTGGACATTCACCATCCAGGCGTGGAGCCCGGCCTGGAAGGAGGTGGCAGCCAGGGCATTGGGCCAGTGGTCAAAGCGCTCTGGGCCATCTACACAGGCCTTGGACTTCTTGGCGCTGAAGGTCAGGGTCCGTCGATCGTCTGACAATTGCAGGAGGGGGCTGACGGTCCTCTCATCGATACGTATGTCCTCTGTGCCTGCCAGAAAGAATTCTTAGAGTTGCCCAGGGCACACTCCTGTCCTAACCAGGTCCCACCAGGTAGCAAAGGGCTTCCTTACCACTCACTGTCAGTGTGACCTCAAGACAAGTCATTTATTCTCTCTGAGCCTCAGTTTCCTTGTCCATAAAATGGGTATCAAAATAGGACTTAGCACCGAGTGGTTATGAGAATTAAATGACATGATACATGTAAAATGCCCAGCATATAACAGGTGCTCAATAAACTGTGGCCATGATGACAGTAGTTATTATTAATCCAAGAGTTTCATCTGTAAGCTCTGATAGAAATAAGGCCCAGAGAGTAGAAGCGAGTTGCCCAAGGTTACACACTGAGTTGGTGGCTGGGTCAAAATGAAGGCCTGGTGTTTTGTTCCTACATCTAGCACTGATCACACTGCTTTCTACTTGGTTGTATCTGTGGTCTGCAGGTCAGACCTGTTCTATCTGGAAACTAGGACGCATGAGATGCAGTTTCCAGCAAATAACTAAAATGGACTGCTGGTAAATCAGGCACTGTCTGATACCAGGATCTGGAATAGACAAGCTATAGCTTGTACCAAAATGTTAAGGATAATATGTGGAGGGAGGGTTAATATTGAAAATAAATCCAATCTATGAACCTAACGACTCCATGAGTTGTGCAAAGACTACCACTGGGAGTATAGACACTACCATCCAACGTGGGGAAAGCCTGCTTCGAGAGTCCCTGTGCTAAGTGGGGATTCCTGGAGGCAGAAAACCATGTCACGTTCACCTCTGTGGCCACAGCTGCAGCACATGGCCAGGCCCACAGTCAGCCTGAGTCAATGTTTGTTTTTTTTTTTCTTTTTTGAGACATAATCTCACTGTGTTGCCCGGGCTACAGTGCCGTGGCGTCATCCTAGCTCACAGCAACCTCCAACTCCTGGGCTCAAGCAATCCTTCTGCCTCAGCCTCCCGGGTAGCTGGGACTACAGGCATGCGCCACCATGCCCGGCTAATTTTTTCTATGTATTTTTAGTTGTCCAATTAATTTCTTTCTATTTTTAGTAGAGATGGGGGTCTCGCTCTTGCTCAGGCTGGTTTCGAACTCCTGAGCTCAAACAATCCGCCCGCCTCGGCCTCCCAGAGAGCTAGGATTACAGGCGTGAGCCACCGCGCCCGGCCTGAGTCAATGTTTGTTAAGTGAATAAATGAGGCAAATCCAGGCAGTTTAATTCTCAGTCCAGATGCTCTCCAGTTGGCTGTCAGTTATATCTTCATAAAAGAGAAACCCAAGGTTTCCAATAAATAACACTGAGCTGCCCCAGTAGGGCAGGCTGTAAGGAGGACGTGCTTTACGGGAACAAGATTTATCCTAAATCCAACCACAGAACAGGTTGGTCTGGAAATGGGAAGGACTCGGCCCAACTGGCCCCACTGACCAGCCTGCGTCCAGCATTCCTAGTGGCTTCAGCTACCGTCCCAGAAGCACTGGTCCCCAGTGTGACCCAGGAGCAAACCCCAGACAGACAGACAGACAGACAGAAGCCCAGTTGCTCCCGATGGTGCTAGGCTCTGGCAGCTCCTAACCTGAGAGGGACCCAAGAACCGCTGTTGCCCAGAGTTGAGTCAGTAGTGGACTCCGAGTGCACTTCTCGTTAAAGTTTAACTTTTCCGATTCCTGGGGATCCAAAATGCCCTCTGCTTCTTCGGTCCTTATGCAGGGAAAAAACAGAGACAGAGATTCAGGAAGGTTCTGGGAATGTATCTGGATCAATATAGGGTGAGGGGAGGGACACAAGTAAAATCCTCCTCCCACCAGGGTGACACCAAGATTGGCAACCAGGGGCCCCTACAGGGGGCTTCAGCCATGGGAGAAGGTGGGCATTTCCCCTGTGCCCCGGCCCTGCCCAGCAACCTTATTCCAGCAAAGCAGAAGGACAATTTGCCGGGAGGTACGGACTCGGTGCCACTATCAGAAACTGGAGGCAGTGTGCTCTGAGGGGGAAGCGACTCGCCAGTGTCCCTCAGGAAGTTAATAGCAGAGCTGGGACTAGGACCTGGGCCTCCAGAACCTCCCGTGCGGCAGTCTTTGCAATCCACCATCTTGCCCTGAAGATACCTCGCCTCCCTCCTAGACCTGTTGCAGCAGTAATGTTTCCTTTGCTCTGCTTCTAAAATGCAAACACTGGCAGGTGCGGTGGCTCACGCCTGTAATCCTAGCACTCTGGGACGCCCAGGTGGGAGGATAGGGGGAGGTCAAGAATTCTCAGAAATTCAAGACCACCCGCGGAGCAAGAGCAAGACCCCCATCTCTACTAAAAATAGAAAAAATTAGCCGGGCATGGTGGCGCGTGCCTGTAGTCCCAGCTACTGGGGAGGCTGAGGCAGGAGGATCGCTTGAGTCCAGGAGTTTGAGGTTGCTGCAAGCTAGGCCGATGCCACAGCACGCTAGCCCAATGACAGAGCAAGACTCTGTCTCAAAAATAAATAAATAAAATAAATGCAAACACCTCTGAGGGGTCACACAGGAAGGGGCCATCAGTCATCACCCCAACCATAAATTACTCATAGCAATTTGTTCCCAATAACTCTTTCTCCTCAGCTCACAGTGGGGCCTGGGTTTTGCTGCAGGAGTCATTTGGGAAGACAAGATGCCCAGGAGGGAAGAATTCAGCAGCCAGGCTCTGGGCTTGCTGTTTTCTATACAGAATCACATTAAACTTTGCTGTAACCTGAGGTAGTGGTTATCCCGTTTGACAGGAGAGAAGAGAGATTCAGAGAAAACGCTCAGCTAAACAGGAGGGCTTGGATTCAAGTCCTGCCTCCATGTAAAAATAGAGCAAACCCGGGATAGAGCCCAGGCACCATTCAATATAATTATTTCCTTGACCATAAGTGAAATCTCAAAGGGGTATAGAGCAAAGTGGGATTTACCACAGAGCTTTGCAGCCCTCTGACCTGGGTTCTGAGAAAGAACTTTCCGACTGCCTCTAATCCCGATGACGGCCCTGAGATCAGGCAGTAGCTCCGAGTACACACCCTCTCTCCCCAGATCTCACGGCCCTGCCCGTAAATGGAGGGTGGGAGACAGGGTGGGACACGTGCCCTGACGGATGCAAGCTCTTTGCAAGACTGTCACTGACTGTCCTGGCTTGGGAGCAGCGAGGTGAACAGAGCCTCAGAAACGCTGGGAGCAGGTTGTGGTAACAAAGGCTCTTTGTGGACAGGACAAGAGAGGGTCTGTTGCCATCTTCTCAAAGCACAGAGGCTCAGTCTAGAGAAGTCCCAGCCATGGGGAGGAAAGAGAAGTCGATGTTCGCAGTGCTAAGCTGTCATCCCAGGGCAAATCTGAGACCAAACGTGACGCTGGAGTCTATAGAGAACCACCTGGACTAGCTACCTCAGGGTACAGAAAAGAAAACTCATGGCCCCAAAAGGGGTGGAAGTGAAACAGGGCTCGAACACAGCAGGCCCTGTAGTCTGTGCGGCAAGTTCTGTTGCCTTGTCAGGTCAGAGCTGAGCCCAGCCATGGACAGGGAAACAACACCAGAGCCAACAAAAGCACTTCTTAGTTAGGCAAATGAGTGTCCAGCTAGATGGGGCTTGACAACTTTTAAACACAGTGCTTTGAGAGTATATACCCTCAGCCTGAGGGCACAAAGAACTACACCAATCTTGAATTCGACTAGCAGGTTTGTCAATAGCAGCATGGGCTTAGCAATTCTCAGATGACTTTGTGTGTACTGTAGGATTGACCAAATGAATAAATATATTGATGTTGTTGGGAGCTAGGGCTCTCACTGTAAAAGAAGAAAGATACAAATATAGAACTGGGGAGGGCAAAGGAAAAACCCTGTGGTGTTAGATTGGAATTAGAAGTTGTCATACAAACTCATGCATAAAAAAGTTATACACACACACACACACACACTTCTTAGCTCTGTCTGCTCCACTGAGAAGGCCTGGAAACAATGACAATGGGTACACTTAGCGCCCAGATCTTGGTTTCTAAATATCATTCGCCACTAAAAAATAAAAAAAAATTAAAAAAAATAAAATAACCAGGACCCTGGAGAAATAACTGATTCCAGGGCTGGGGCAGGAAAAAACAAGTTGAGCCTGGGATGTCTTCTTGGGCCTGAGATCAAGAAAGTACTCAAAGAATGACGGGGACTTATCAAAACGACACAGGATCCAGCTTGAAGAGGCTCCTACTGGCCAAATCTGGGACAGTCTGAACATGAAAATTAATAATGGCAATAATAGATTATAATGCATTAAAGAAAATCAGAATCCATGAGTCTGTATTAATACTAAATAAGTGAATGAACAACCAAGCAAACAAACAAATGAATAATTCAAGCAGGAATTATTAATGGATGCCAAAACTATTGGGTGAAATTTTGAAGGGAAACAGGGTATCTTTTTTTTAATTCAAAGCAACAATAACAACAACCCAAAAAACCTACGTATCCTTCTGTGACTATACACGAGAAAGCCTGCAAAACACACATCTATTAAAACTGATCACTGCGGGAGAATGGGATTGGGAGGGAGTGACGGAGACTCATTTTCCATTTTAAATAGTTTAATATTAGTGGAGTTTTTCTCTCATGCACACGTATTGCTACTGAAACTTAAACATAAAAATAAATAAGAATAGACTGGTCCCCACATATAGCTCTGAAATCTCACACAGAAGGTTTGAGAAGTTAATTACTTTGCCTGGCAAATTACACCCTCTTGACCATCCTCAGGCCCTTGGCTGTCAGACTTTCAAAACCCAGGTAGGACCTGGTGAAATTCTCTTATTACTGAATAATTAAAATGCAAAATTTGATGGCAGTTAAGACTTAAGTTTCACAGATGCTTTCATCAGAGAAAAGGGAGTGGGGCAGGAGAGACAGCACTCTCACAGGCATCTGGTGGGTCCGGTCCTCAGCTCCAGGCTTGGGCAGTTCCCTTCCCCAACTTGAGCCTCAACGTTCTCATCTGCAGATGGAGGTGGTCAAACCCTCCAACAGGGAGACTGCATTTCAAAATAGGATAATGTTTAAGAAAGCCCCGTGGCAAGCCTCTGATTGATAGGTATTTCACTGCCCTTCCATATGAGTTTAAACCAAGGACAGGAAGACGCCTGTCCATCGAGCTGGACCCCAGGGAAGCCACTCAGCTGCATGCCCTGTGCTTGCTCCCAGGAGCAGTGGGGCCTGAATGCAGTGGACTGGGTAGAGGCCTTAGAGTCTCTGTGACTGCCCAAGCAGATCACAGGGCCACACTCACCTCTCGAAAATCTCCTGCTCCTTCTGCTGTGAGAAAAGAAAACAAAGTCAGGCTTAGCACCAGAAACCCAGCAGGTAGTCAACATTTGAACATATTTAACTATTGTAGAGGGCTCCATGTGGACACAAACTCTACAATAAAAACTTCTACTCTTCCTTTAAGACCCAGCACAAAGTTTTCTGGGTTGCTCTTCACACACACGCACGCACGCACGCACGCACACTCAGGATGAAGCATTCTATCCCCCATGTCCCATGGCATCTTGGGTCCCCTCAACTCCAGTTCAGGACCATCACCTATTCACCCCGACAGCATCCCCTATGACAAATGTCAGCTCCTGGAAGGCTGTGATTCTTTCTGAATCTTCTATTGTGACTGTCCCAGGGTCTGTGACAGAATGTGCTCTGTACACGGAAGCTGAGCTGTGTGACTCAGTGAATGCACAATCTAGGGCAGTCATGGAAACTGCCCTACTTGAAAATGCAGTGGGACAGCTCAGGTGTTCCACATTCTCCTGCCCTCTGCTCGGCATTTTTACTCAGATGTCGCACTGTCCCCTCGACACTGGAGGCATCTGCATATCTATACAAGACACTTTGAAAGGCTACGTACCAAATAATCATGGTAATCCTGGGTGGTAGGATTAGGATGAGCTCTACGTTTTCACGTTAGAGCCCTTGTCAGCTCCTCCAAGCACAGGGTTCTCTCTGCATGCTTCCGAACTCTTTCCACCTCCCCACTTCCTTTAACATAGCTGCTCTTCTTATCTTCTGCGTCACTTCATCCAGGAAGCTTTCCCTGGCCTCCTTCCCCCAGCCTGCATGGCTGGGACCCTGGCTGAGTGATTTCCTCTACCATAGCGTACATCCTTCCGTATCCTAACTGTCAGCTGATGTACTCCTCTCCTTCCCGAGACTGGGAGCAGCTGGCGGCTGTAGCCTGTAACTCCACCCCATAGCATAATGCTTAGCGTATAATAGGGACTCAGTAAACATTGGTTCACTATTGAAAGAATACTGTTTTCAGTGAGTACCCTGAAAATGCATATAATTTTACTCCCCTGCCTCATGTTAAAGAAGAAATGATTCAATGATGCTTGTTAAAGCACAGTAAGGAAGACTTTACTCAGGACCCTCAAGATAGGTATAGGGGCCACTGCAAAGGGGTCTTGCAGTGTGGGAGAGAGACCGGGCTCAACCCCGCACACAGCGTGGGCAGGTGGGAATTTACAGCCAAGGAGCAGGGTGGGAGGTAGTGGATGGAAAGTTACGAAGAGGAAACCCCAGGGGTGAGGAAAATTCTGTCTAAACAGACCTAACAGGATTCTTGCTGAAGACAGGCCAGGGTGATTGGATATCACCTGGGGATGGTGGAGGATGAGGAACCTGATCAGATATCCAGGGTGATCAGATATCAAGGATGGAGGGTTCTGGCAAACTGACTTAGCAGGTTTCTTTTGTTAAAACTGGATTTTACAAGGAAGTACACAGATGGATCAAAGAGAAGGTTCAGAAGCTTGACTAAAGTTTGTCCAAGAAAAGAATCTTTCTAGTACTCTGGGAGGCCATGGTGGGATGATTGCTTGAGGTCAGGAGTCTGAGACAAGCCCGAGCAAGAGCGAGACCCAGTCTCTACAAAAAAATAGGAAAAAAAATGGTCCAGACGTGGTGGTGTGCACCTTGCAGTCCTAGCTGCTTGGGAGGCTGAGGCAGGAGGATCGCTTCAGCACAGGAGTTTGAGGCTGCAGTGATCTATGATGACACCACTGCACTCTACCAGGGTAAGCGAGTGAGACTCTGTCTCCGGAAAAAAAAGAAAAAAAAAAGAAAGAAAAGAATCTTTGTCATTCATCCCTGCTCCAAATTCTCATTTCCACCCACATCCTTCCAATAAATATTCTTGATGCTTTCGAACTTTTGGAGTGTCTGGCCAACTGGTCATGTCCTCCCCCTTGCTGACTTACAATCAGCTGGAGGTCATCCAGGTGGGTGAGCATGCCCACCAGGCTGGTGCGGATGGTGTCAAGCTTCTGCAGCGCCTCGGCCCAGTGCACGCGCTGTGTCAGGATGCTCTGGTGGGCCCGCTCCTCTTCGCGGTGCACCTGCTCCAGCAAGCGCTGCTCCTCACTCTCGCACAGACTCCTCACCAGACTCAACCGCTGGATAACTAGTTCCCTCGCTGCACTGGCCATAGTCTGACAAGGAATAAAACAAGGAATTGGGCCCTGCAAAAGCCCCAGTCAGGATTAAGAGGGTTTAGGCTGAGTGGGAAGGAGTGCTGAGATTGATTAGCAATGTCTGCCATGGGCTTAGTAAAGGAAGTAACCGTACTTAGGCCACTTACTTTGACATCCCAGCCCTAAGACTTCTCCGATATGGTTTGGAGTAAAGAAATTTGACATCCAGACATCCAAGCCATATCTCATGAAGCCATGATCACAGAATGGAAGAGCTGGGTAGGGCTTAGAGATCAGCTAGAATCACCTGCTTATTTCACAGTTGAGAATATCAAGGCCAAGGGATCGAGGTCAGAGAATCATAGAATTGCAAGGCAGGGGGCCTAAAAAGTCATCCAAGGGTGGGGAACCTGTGGCCCTGGGGCCACATGTGCCCTTCTAGATCTTTGAGTTTGGCCTTTTGATTGAATCTAAATTTTACAGAACAAATCCTTTTAATATTACACTCCAGTTGATATTTCACCATGTCTGAGGACAAAAAAAAAAAACCTCATTCCTTCCTAAAGCTGTACATTTCAACTGGTTCTACGGTAGAATTTTCATCTGCCACAGAGGGAGCCTGAAATCAATTCTCAGACAATGAAGTGACTGAATGTCTTCTTCTAACTCCTGGCACAGTGCCTCATCTGTAGTAGGTACTGAAATATTGAGTGAATAAGCAAATAGGAATTTTTTTTCCTGACTTAATCAAAAATCTCTTGGTAGTGCTCACATGGCAAGTAAGTGCCAGAGCTGAGACTAGAACTCAATTCTCTTGACTCTCTGTCCAACACTATTCCCCTACACCAGATGTCATCTGGTAACCAATCCTCCCCAAAGACACCTATTGCAGAAAGCACCTGCACTTATACTTTGCCCAACAGGTGAGAATAGAATTGTCTCCTTCTTGTCAAAAAGTCAGGGGCAGACAGCAGCCTTCCTGTGCCCTGTCCCTGAAGACCTGCTTTGCACAGTGCAGGGGGCAATCATCCCTGTTTTGCGGAAAAAATTGAGATCCACAATTTGCCTGATAGGGAGGAAACAGTGGCTAAGTGAATGGCAAGTGAACCCAGAAGGTCAGACTCCAAGTTCACAGTGTTCTCTTGAGGCATATAACATAGTGGTTAGGAAATTAAGCTTTAGAGACAGTGTCTAGACTTAAATCTTAACTGTTCCACTCATTAGCAACGGAACTTTCAGCATGTTCCTTATCTTTCCCATGCTTCAGTTTTCTAATCTGTAAAATGAGTATAATATTATAATAGTACCTACCTCATGAGGCTATTGTGAGGATTAAATGCATTAATACATATAAAGTAAATAGAACAAAGCCTGGCACATGATAAATGTTCAAGAATGTTCGCTATTACTCTCCTGTCTATTCCACCTTTATGCCTTCCCCACAGGGGTGGGCCCCTGCAGCCATGTTTGTGCTGCGTGATCCTGAATCAAGACCTCATCCATGATGAATCATATTCTCTCTACCTAAAAGACTCCAGTCAATTTAAACAAATTTTTCAAGCCATCCTGAGAAAAAGGTAGCAGACAAAAGAAAAAAAATGTTCCTTTCCAAAGATATGACAGAGTAGATACACTCAAAACACTCTCAGAGCAAAACACAGAGATGCTGGAAAAATAGTCCAAGCATCCTCTTAAAAATGTAGTTGCTCTAGCAAGGAAGTAAAGAAAATCCTCTGGGGTCCAAAAATAGAAAGGAAATTGAAAACCATTATAATCAAGAGCTGAGGACTCAACTACCCTGGTTGGGGCCTGCAACTCACCTTAGAATTTTAAGCTCATCTAACCTCTCATACAAACAATAAGAGCACAATAAAGACATCTCTAATCAAAAACAGAGTATTTCCTATGAATGAGAAGCATTTATTAACAGTTATACTTTAATTAAAATATTGGACAAGACCAGAGGGGTCAATGGATAAAGCATCTTACAGTGTTTGTATTATTCTGGAAGAGGTCAGAGATGCTTAATTCATTTTAGACATTGTTAAGTATTCATGTTAAAATTTTAAGGGTACCCATTATAGACCATAAACAGAATGTATAATTTTCAAACTAGCATAGAGAAAGAAGGGGAAGGAGTTGATTAACTCAAAAGAAGGTAGAAAAGAAAGACAAAACCATAGAAAAAACAGACTACATAGAAAACAAAATAAAATAAGAGCTATAAATCCAACTATATCAGAAATCACAATAGTGATAAATGGATTAAACTCCCTAGTTAAAAGGCAAGGATTATCAGATGGGTTATTTTTTAAAAAGGAAACAAAATCCAGTTATAAAACATACCTAAAACACAAAAACAGAAAAGTCAAAAATGAAGCAAAGAAAAAGATACATCAGGAAAATATTTGCTGTTGTAGTAATGAATAAAGAACTTAATAGACTTTAAAGCAAAAAGAATTCCCAGAGAAAAAAATTCCCAAAAAGAATTCCTATCTTTTTAGAAAAAAAGATAATAGGAATGATTTACCAAGAATTTAGATATACAACAGATCTAAATTGTGTATACTTAATAACATAGTGTCAAAATGTAAAATCAAGCCAAGCACAGTGGCTCACACCTATAATCCTAGCACTTTTGGGGGCCAAGGCAGGAGGATTTCTTGAGGGCAGGAGTTTGAGACTATCCTGGGCAACGTAGAAAAACCCTGTCTCTAAAAAAAAAAAAAACAAATAGCTGAGTGTGGTGGCACACACCTGTAGTCCCAGCTACTAGGGAGATTGAGGCAGGAGGATCACTTAATCCCAGGAGTTCGAGGCTGCAGTGAGCTATGATTGTGCCACTGCACTCCAGCCTGGGTGACAGAATGAGACTGTCTCAAAAAAATAATATATATATATATTAATATATACAATATTACAATATAACAATTAATTGACAGAATTATGAGGAAAAATAAGTTTATAGCCATAATATGAAAATTTAAAACCCTCTTGACAGTAATCTAGGAGATAAAAAATTAGTAAGTATAGGGCATATTTGAATAAATTAATGAGCTTAATAGACATATATAGAATCCTACACAGTTTTTCAAGTGACTATGAAACACTTACCTAAATTGACCATATTTTAGGGCATGAAAATTTCAATCAATCAACAAATTTCAATCAATATCATATATTCTATAATACAGTTAAGTTAGAAGTCAATAATTTAAAAAATAAAAAGTAAAACATACATTTGGAGATTTAAAACATTTCTAATAACTCATAGTAAAAAAAATAAATCATAATGGGAATTTAAAAATACTAACTGAATGACAAGGAAAATACTACATATCGTATTTATGGATGTCAATACCTAAAAGAAAATACATAGCTTTAAATGCTCACCCTGAGAAAAAAGAGACTAAAATTAATAAACTATGTTCAACGCAAGAAGTTAGAGAACAAGAGTATATCCAAAAAAAACTAGAAGGGAAAAAATATAAAGACAAGAGGAAATAATTATGAAATAAAAAACAAAGATACAAAAGAGTAGATCAAAATAAAGACGAACGAAATACTCAAAACTGTGGCTACTTTAAACAAAAGTAAGAACATTTTATGCAATCTTAAATTCTTCAAATGAAAACAGAGTTGTGTTTCCCAATTCATATAATAAAGCTTATATAAACACCTAGATACCAGATCTGATAAGGACTTTATAAGAAATAAAACTGATAGGCTAATCTCACTCCTGAACATAGAGCAAAAATCCTAAAACAAAAACAAAAACCCAAAACTGAGATTGGCAATCCAAATCCAGAAATTTTGTATTAACAATAATACAAGGGGGAGAGGAAAGGGTGTGTGTGGCTATAAAAGGGTAGCAGAAGGAATCCTTGTGATAGAACTGTTCTGTATCTTAATTGTGGCAATAATCACATGAATCTATACATGTGATAAAACTGCATAAAATTAAATACACACATGCATGTGCATTGCACACACAAAAAAGTACATGTAAACTGGTGAAATCTGAATAAGGTGAGTTGTAGCAATGCAATTTTCTGGTTATAATATTGTGCTATAACTAAGCAAGATGTTGCCATTGGGAGAAACTGGATAAAGGGCATTGCTATACTATTTCTTACAACTGCATTTGAATTTACAATGATCTCAAAATAAAAGGTTAAAAAAATACATTATGATGAAGTTGGGTTGATTTTCCCCAGGAATTCAAGGATGGTTTAGCATTAGAAAATCCATCAATGTATTACTACATTAACAAAATGACGGAGAACAAAACATATCTATAAACTGACAAATGGTCTCATTAAGAACCTACAGCAAAGGTGACAATTAATGCAAAATGGAAGTAATCAGAAGAACTTCTACAAGCTCTACCCATCACCTACCTAACTACCTGCACTTTTGCCCATACACACAGCCTTCCCTGTTTCTGTGGATGAGCTGTGCACACTCTTACCTAAGGCCAACTCTTCCACTTGTCTACTAGATCCCAAGCCCTTTGCTGCACCCAATTCTCTGCTTTCTCCTGCATCATTAATTTTCCCCTCTATACTGGACCATTCCCAACAGCATACAACCAGAGCAATTTCTCCCATCTAAAACAAACAAACAAAACAAAACCCCTCTTGATCCCATATCCTCCTCCAGCTATCATCCCATTTCTCTGCTGCCTCCCACAGTAAAGCTCCTCAAGAGTTGCTTGTGCCAACTATCTTAACTTGCTCTTCTCCCATTCTCTCTGAAACCCACTCCAATCAGACTTTCACCCCCACCACTCTACAAAACTACTCTCGTTGGGATCCCCAGTGATGTGCATGTTACTAAATCCAATAGTCCATTCTTAGTTCTCACCTTACTTGATCACTCAGCACCATTTGACACCAATGACCTCTCCCACCTCCTTGGAACCGATCCTGAGATGCTATGATCTCTTAGTTTTACTCCTGTCTCACTGACTGCCCCTTCTTGGTTTCCTGTGCTATTTCCCCCTATCTTCTCAATGGCTAAATGTTGAATTGAAATGCCGCAGGGCTCAGTCCTTGGACTCTCACTCTTTCCTATCTATAGTCATTTCCTTAGTGAATTCAACCTTTTCCATGGCTTTCGATACCATTTATACACCAAGGAATCCCAAATTTATATCTCCAGCCTAGCCCTCTCCCAACTCATACCTACTCAGCACCTTCAAATTTGAATGTCAAATTTAACATGTCCACAACGGAACTCCTAATCCCCTCCCTTGCCAATCATCACCCCATGTACAGTCCTTCCCCACCCAGTAAATGGCTGCTCTACCCTTCCAGTTGTCCAAGTAAAAAAGCTTCAGAGTGATCCTGACCCCTATCCCCTTTCTTTCACAGCCTACATCCAATCCATCAGCAAATCTTGTTGTTTCTTCAATATTAATGCAGAATCCAGCCACTTCACACCATCTTTGCCAACATCACTTGGGCCCAAACCACCCTGTCTCCCACCTGGATTATTACAATGGCTTCCTAATTGGTCGCCCTGCTTCTACCTTTGCTGCCTAAAATCACTTCTCAACATGCCAGCCAAAGTGCTCCTTTTTAATCTTAGGTTAAATCATCTTACCCTGCTCAAAAATTGTCAATGGCTTCCCATATCATACCCAAAACAAAAGACAAAGTCCCCATGTGGCCAGTGAGGACAGAATCCAGCTCCCACATCTCCCCGTTGTCTCTCTGAACGCATCTCCTACTGCCTCATGTGTTTACTCTGCTTCAACCTCACAGGCCTCCTTGCTGTTCTTCCAGCATGCCCGGTACACTCCCACCTTAGGGCTTTTGTATTATATACTTGCCATTCCCTCTTTCAGGAACACTCTCCCCAGGTGTGTGGCCCATTTCCTTCCCTCCCAGGTTTCTGTGCTAATAGCAACCTTCTTAATGAGGACATTCCTGGTCACAGCACAGGAAGTTGCGATCCTGTCCTCAACACATCCTAGCCCCTTTCCTATTTTACATTTCCCCATAGCACATATCACCTCCTGACATAGCCTATATTTCATTTGCTATTGTCCCTCTCCCCCGACAAGAATGTAGGCTTCATGAAAACAGGAATTTTTATGTTTTGTTCACTGCGGAATGCCTAGCGCCTTGAACAACAGTGCCTCACACGGTAGGTGCTCAATAAGGACCTGTTAAATAAAAAAATGGTGAAATGTTGGAAGTTTTCCCCTTAAAGTCAAGATCTGCTACACTAGCATCTATTCAACATAGTACTGCGGTCACAGTAAGACAAGAAAATAAAAAGAGTGTCAGGGATGAAGGGGATGGGGGGAGGAGGGGGGGAGGAGGAAGGAGAGGGAGGTTGGTTGAGATATTGAGAGTATCATGCAAAATCAAGCAGAGATGGACACCAAATAGCTGCCTGGACTCCTTGAGGTTCTGAGAGACCCCTGTATCCTGCCAGGAAATTCGGTTTTGCTTATGCTAGTTCAACTGGGCTCTGTTCCATGCCATTAAAAGAACCTTGACTTAGGCAGTGCCAAGCCTGTTCTGTATACTAGGGGGAAGGAGGAGGGGGGTGTACAGAAAGAAATTTACAGGCCCTGCCCCTGAAGGGCATACTTGAGACTAAAGACCTAGCAGTGGCAATGAGTCCACTGGACAAAGCATCGGCAGAGGGATACAGCAGAAGCAGCACTGGCCTGGGGGTCAGAAGATCCAGGGCGTAGAACTGACTCTGCCAGGAGGCTGTGGGGCCTTGGGCAAGTCTATTAACCTCTGTAGGACCCATTTCCCCATCTATAAATGGGGATGTTACTGCCACCTGTTGCGTATGATTGTCATAAAGAATATTCAATGTAAATTGAATAGGTTATTTTATAATTCTGGAGCTGAGCAGAAAATAATTAGATGGTAGAGGAATACTACCCTTCTTGATCCCCTCCCCAAGACATCCAAGAAAGTCATTTTCTAGCAGAGTCTTTGCACCTAATATGGTAATAGCAACAAGCCCACTCTGCCCAGATGATAAAATTGAGGCTCAGAAAGATGGGAAACCATCCTTCCTGTATCGACTTTTGCTAATAGCACAATGAGTCTGAGAGGTTGGGAAGGGACCCTAGACTTGCCCACGTCTCTAAAGTTGGGTCTTATCATGCGTGGGGGCCCAGAGTAGAGGGGAAAGGGGAGAATTACCACTGCTCTCTGGTTCTTCCCTGGCAGGACCTCGGCCACATATTTGGTGATGCCAGCACTCTGTAACTGCAGCCTCTCACACTGGTCCACAATCTTGTTCTGCAACACAGACAACACTCATGGGGTCTTGATCTCTGTATACAAACCATTCACTCTATTCTCGTGATTTTTTTTCCCTTTCACTGCACCTCAGCCACCCACACCCATGGTCACGTCCCACATCTCATCATTATCAAAACTACACCACCTCCAAAACCTTCATTTCAATTCTATGACCTTGTGTTTGGACCTGTGATGTATAAGACTAATTTCCACCTGTGGGGGAAAAGATTTACAAGGGCTTCCTGGAAGAGGTAGCTGAGTTGCCTTTTGGCAGATGGAACTGAGGAAAAACTCTTAAGAGAAATAGTGGAGGAACTGCTGTTTAGAGAGTCTCCAGCTATTAGCTGGAGAAATAGAGTGGAAAGGCAGGGGCCCGGCCATATCTCCTAGGGTGAGACACTTCTCTATGGGCCTTAGTTTCCCCATTTCTAAAACTCTCTCCTACTCTCACGGATGATGCTTGTAGCTTTGGGAGCTGTGAAGTGCTGAACCTCTTGTGGTCCAGGAAGTGGGAATTCGTTCATTCAACGAATATTTATTCAGTGCCTTCTATGTGCAGGAACTCTCTTTGAGATAGTTTCACCATGGCCCATCCTTCTCACTCACTATTGCTAGAATCTCCATTCCAAAAATTCTTCAGCTCAGTTGGGGCCACCAACACATCAGTCTTACACTTTTCACTGTCCATCATCCCCTTCGATTGCCTCACTTCCTTCTTTACTCTGAAATCCCATGGCCCAATATTATAATCACTTCCTGGCATGCACTCTTACCCGTCCATCATACCCAGCTCCCTGACTGTCCACGTCCGCACCTGAGCAGAACATGCTTCTCAACCTGCTCTCCACTAAGCTATTCCCATTCATTAAGCAGCACTATTAATCATCCATCTGTTATCCAGACCAAAACCTCACAGGTTTCTCTCAAACCCCACACCTAATCCATCCAATCCCATCAGCCCTATCTCCAAGGTCTCTGTCTTTCCGCTGGCCATTTTTGGTCACTTCCACTCCAGTTATTCAATCCAGATTGCCATCATCTCTCACAGAAACCACTGTTAGAACCTCCTAACTTGGCTTCCATTCTTGACACCCCCTACGACCATCTTTTGTAAGGAAATGAAATCAGGTCATGCTCCTGTTCAATACCCTCCAATGGCTTTCCAATACACTCACAATAAGGGCAAGCATCTTACCTTAGTGAATATGGTCCTACCTGATGGGACGCTGCCTATTTCTCCAATGTCACCTCCTACCACTCTTGACACTGGCCTCCTTTCTGTTCCTTAAACACCCCAAACTTGTCCTGACCTCAGTGCCTTTGCACCCATTGTTACTTCTGTCATCAGTCTTTATATATACATGTGTGTGTGTATGTCTCACTCCCCAACTCCATTCATACATCACCTCTTCAGAGAGGCCTTCCCTGACCATCTCCCTCCTCACCCAGTCTCTTCCTTTGCTTTATTTTTCATCCTTGCATTTATAACTCTCTGACTATGTGTGTTCGTTTACTCTTCTTATTATCTGTCCTTCCACTACTGGAACAAAAGCAACATACCTTTGATGTGTTCTCTATGCCCCACTATCTAGAAGAGAGTTCCTGCACATAGAAGACTCTGAATAAATATTTGTTGAATGAATGAACTCCCACTTCCTGGACCACAAGAGGTTCAGCACTTCACAGCTCCCAAAGCTACAAGCATCATCCGTGAGAGTAGGAGAGAGTTTTAGAAATGGGGAAGCTGAGGCTCACAGAGAAGTGTCTCGCCCCAAGAGATATAGCCAGGCCCCTGCTTTTCCACTCCATTTCTCCAGGTAATAGCTGGAGACTCTCTAAATGGCAGTCCCCCCACTATTTCTCTTAAGAGTTTTGCCTCAGTTCCATCTGCCAAAAGGCAACTCAGCTACCTCTTCCAGGAAGCCCTTGTAAATCTTTCCCCCCACAAGTGGAAATTAATCTTATCCATCCCAGGTCCAAACACAAAGTCATAGAATTGAATTGAGTAGGAGGAAACTGTGATCAGCATGCACCATGGGATTGAGGGAACTGAGACGAGCTACAGGGCAGGAATCCAGAGGTAAGACAGCAGTAGAACTGGGGCTGTTTTTGCTCAATTCAGTAACAATCTTGCTCTGGGTGAAATTTCTCTGCTGGTTGGAGGGATAGGGAAGGATTGTGCAAAAGATAAAAACCCACTCTACCTTGGAGAGAGAGAGGGCAAGACTCGCCTCCCTTCAGGCAGAGGAGATAAATATGCTTAGGGCCTCAGGGGGGCTCAGGGAAGACTCCCTGGGCAGAGTACCTTCCCAAACAAGCGCCAGGCCTACCACCTGCCCCAGCCTTCACCCCTCCCACCTCTCTGATCCAGCCCTGATGGCTACTTTTTAAGGTTTTCATTAAATTCTCGCCCCCATTAGCATCACTTCCTCCCTCTAACCACTGAAGCAAAAAGGCAGTTTCCTCTTGCCTAGTTAATGACTCTGTGGGTCCAGCCCTGAACATTAGGAACCTTAGAAGAGTCACTGCCCTGTTCTCGGCCTCAGTTTCCTCATCTATAAAATGTAGGTAGGACCACCACTTCAAAGCTTGGTCCAGATGGAATGAGATGACAGATAGTTAAGTACTCTGGAATTTGCAAAGTTTCTATCCATCATGCAAATTGATTATATCATGTTATCCAAGTCTATTTTCCTCATCACTATCGTTGATATCAGCAACCAAAGGACCAACTAGGAGCTTTTGAGTGTCGCTGAATAACTGAACCCCTCCCAACCCTGGCACCACATAAGATGTGTTTATTATCGTCCAGTCTGAATAGGTGATGTCCCCAGTGGGAGCCCTCAGGCCCCACAGCAGGGCTGAACTCCAGAGTGGGTATGGGAGAAACAAGCTGTTTAATCAAATTGCAAGGAAATCCCCAGGGGCCACAGCTAGTGCGGAAGAAGGGAAGAAGCCCCAGGGTGACTTGACTCTCCAACCTTCGCAGCTCAGGGGAGAGGTGGTGACATGAAGGTGACCAGCCAGGAGCCAAGCTGGAAGGGGAGGTGGAGAGAAACCCTAGGTGAAGGAGAACCTCCTGATATCCTCCCTGCCCCCTCCGTTTATCCAGGTGAAACCAGCTTCAAGTACAGTCAAGGCCAGTCCAGAAAGAGAAAGAGATCACCTCACCAGGAAGCCTGAGTGGGCAGGAGGGGAGGAGGAGGCTTTGAGTTGAGGGGTTGAGGGGTAAGCTTGGAAGAGCCAGGTTTTGTCAGCGGACAGCTTCCACAGGGCGGGAGCTGGGGCACACCTTGCACTGGGGAATGGGACAGCTGAGCCCTTTATTGACCGAGGCCAGCCCCGGCTCCCAAACGCGCAGCGGAGAGGGGACGTGGGAGCAGGGAAGGGGCTGGATCCGCCACTACGTGATGGGCACCGACGGGTAAACAGCATTTTACCCATTATCCTAGTTATATCTCACAACAACTCTAATAAATACGCGCTGTTATTATTATCATTTTCCCCAAACTACAGACGAAGACACCGAGGCGCAGAGCGCTACGTGACTCACGGGGACGGCGAGCGGGAGTGGATTCGAACTCAGGCCAGCCCGGCTCCACAGGCCACACCCTTAGCCGTCTCGCTCTACAGCCAAGGCCACTGCGGAGCCTGGGCTGCTGGAACTGCCGTCCTGTCCGCCCGGCCCTGGGCTCCCCGCTCCCCGCCGGGCCCCGCCTGGCGCGCCCGCTCCGGAGCCCCCGCCTTCCGGCGCCCGCGCCCGCTCACCCGCAGCTCCTCGGCGCGCTCCTCCGCCCGGCGGATGCGGTGTCCCCGGCAGCGGCCGCCCGGCTCCGCGCAGGCGGCGCACACGGGCCGTCGCTCCGAGTCGCAGAACCAGCCCAGAGCCTGGCCGTGCTCCGGGCAGAGCGGCCCCGGCTCGGACCCCGGCTCGGGCCCTGGCCCCGGCTGCGGCCCCGGCCCCGCGCCCTCCGCGGACATGGCCGAGTGGCGGGTGTCGCGCGCTCCACCTGTCGCAGGTGGCTGCAGGGCGGGGCCTCCCTGACCCCGCCCCGGGCCCGCCCGGTGCACCCGCGCGCCCAGCCGCTGCGCTTCCTCCCACCCGGCGCGGCACCCTCGCCTGACCCGCGCTCCCATGCCGCCCGCTTCAGCACTCTTTGTCCTTCTTTGCCGAATTAAATCGCGCTGTGCGTGGGTTTGTTTATAACAAACAAAACCCACCAAATACTACTGTGACCGTAGGAAACTTTACTGAGCACTTACTAAGTGCCAGGCTTTTGCTGAGGGCTTCATTAAGCGTTCTATCTTGTAATCCTGACAACTGCCCTTTTTGACAGGCCGCTTTAGAGCAGTAATTTAAAGCTAAGCTCTGGTGTCAGACTGCCCAGGCTCAAATCCCACTGAGCTGCTAGCTGGCTGAGTACCCTCGGGGTCCTCAGCTGTAAAATGGAGATGAGAGTGCCCACCTCATAGGCTCGCTAATTGTCTAACAGCAGGAGGAGAGTACCGTTATGAACCCCATTTTTATGGAAGTAAGTAAAGTGCCAGGGATCACAGTTACTAATTGATAGCAATGAGACTAGAACTTATGCAGTTTGACTTAAGGTTATTATGATTAATAATTTTTTCATAAATTATGAGACCCAAGGAAAAACATCTGTGTTAGGCTGATTTCCAGAAGTATTTACATCCAAATTTTCTGAATTTGAATATTTGGGTTTTCTTTTTAAACTAGCATTGAAAAAAATAATGCATGTTTATTTTGAAGTAAATGAAATATGCAAATAAGCACTTGAAAGAAAAACCCACTCCCCATCCTGGAAAGAACAACTGCTAACATGTACCTGCGCTGTTTTAGGGATTTTTCCTACCCAGGATAGGATACATCACTCTGAGCCCAGACTGAGCCCTTTCCTAGGGACCTAGTCCAGTCTGTCTGGGCATACAGGGAGAACACTGCTCTCCAACTCCAGACTCTGCCTTTGGAGGTCTTGGCAGAGAACTCAGCCAGAGAAGGCAGGGCCCACACTTTAGGTGTCCGGCAGTATTCTGAGTTCATCAGAACTGCACACAGGTGGGTGCAAAACCTGAAAGAGAAACATTACATTCTGAGGTTCAGAGGGGCTCAGGCACCTCTACTCTGAAGCCCTTCTGAGCCACTGCTACACAAAGGGGCTAGAACCCTTTCTTTCTCAGCCCCTACAGCGTTAGCCCCTGAGGGGTAAGGGCAGCTAAGAGCCCCAGAGCTTCCCAGAGCAGTACTGACTGGTGTCGTCATCCAGTGAGGGCACATTGTCACTCCAAATAGACAAATATTACACCATGTGACTAGAGAGAACATAGAGTGGAATATAGAGTCAATGGTTTCATCCCAGCTATGTGACTTACAGCTATGGGACCTTGGTCAGGTTACCTAGTCCTTCTGTGTCTCAGTTTCCCCATCTCTACAATGGGGGTGATAATAATAGTATCTACCTTAGAGGGCTTAGAGATCTTGTCTGCAAAGTGTGTAACTTGGGTGTCTGACTTACAATAGGGGATAATAACTGTTTTCATTATACGTGTGAGAATCTGTAAATATGCTTGTAGCAGGTTTCAGAATGTAAATTTCGTGAGTTTCTTCGTCAAGGGGTCTGCATCAAACGAAGCTTTCCAGTGCATCCCGGTGGGAGGGTGATGGCTTCATAATGGCATCTACCCTCCTCTGGGCTTGGGGATGGAAATAGGATGCGGTAATTAGAGATTGTGTTTAGAATTTTTTTGTTCTAAAGACTGAGAGTGGGGAACTATTAAGTCCTATGGTGAAAACAAAGAAAACAGGAGGTACTTTTTGTGTGAAGGCTAAAAAGAAAAGATGCTGAGGCGGCAGGGGGAGGAACCAGGGGTTAAGGTCCTTGGGGAAAGCCTGGGCCTTTTCTCAGGGTGTGGCCCTAGGAGGGCTGAGTCTGAAAGGCCGCAGCAGAATCCCCAGAGGTGCTTCCAGACAGAGGGACTAGCAAATGCAAAGCGCTAAGGTAAGTAGATTTACTTTTATAAAGTTGGATGCATCTGTTCTGCTGTTCACGGGCCGAGTTGGACTGGAACTAGAGAATCAACCCCTTTCCTAAACATGCATCGAGCCCTGCAGGACCCACTTCCCGGATACTCATAAACTCCCAGGCTGTGGCTCTCAACTTTATTGGGCTTCAGAATCTAGAATCACTGGGTGGGGGAGGGGGAGGGGCAAGAAAAGAGGGTTGTTAAACTTGCAGACTTTCCATTAAGATTCTCATTCATTAAGTCTAGAATAGAGCCAGGAATCTGCATTTATAGCAGTCACTCCATGATTAGGATGCAAATGAGCCCTCTGACGCTTCTAGAAACACTGCCCTAGGGCAGTGGCAACTCTTTATTAGGTCGTATATCAATTCGAGGGGTGGAGAGCACCATCTTTAAAAAAAAAAAAAAAGAAAGAAAGAAAAAAACCCAGAAAACTTGCCCGTAGTTACATATACAGTTAAACAAAATTTATGGGAGGTCATTGTTTTGGACTAGGCTCCTGCACTAGGCCCCAAGAAACCAGACCAAACCAAAATGGAGTCACTCATGCTAAAGTTCCACTTCACCAAACCAAAACCAAGTTGTTTATCTGACCTTCCGAGAAATCATGGGGTCGGGGGGAGGGGCAGTTTGTGGGGAGGAGAATAGCCAAATCCTCAAAGTATACAGATTTAGTTGGCATAATAAGGAAGTCCTCTCTGTTTTAAGCCTATATGGAAAGTAATTTTGGTTTCGGTTTTTTTGTTTTTTTTTTTGAAACAAGGTTTTGCTCTGTCACCCAGGCTGGGATGCAGTGACACAATACATAGCTCAACTGCAGCCTTAAACTCCTGGGCTTAAGCAATCCTCCCACTTCAGCCTCCTGAGTATGTGGGACTAGGTCTAGCTATGTTTCCTAGGCTGGTCCCTCAAACTCC